TCGCCCGCCAGGTCTACGACGTCACCGGCGCGGGCGACATGGTCCTCGCGGCCCTCATCTCCGCCCGGTGCAACGGGCTCTCGTGGATCGACTCGGTCCGCTTCGCGAACGCCGCGGCCGGGCTCGAGGTCGAGGTCTTCGGCGTTCGTCCGATCCCGTTCGAGCGGGTGTACCAGGCGGTGCTGCACGAGGCGCGCGAGCTCATCGGCAAGCGGCGCACGGTCGAGGAAGCCACGATCGAGGTCGCGGCCTCGCGCCGCGAGGGCAAGAAGGTCGTGTTCACGAACGGGTGCTTCGACATCCTGCACGCCGGGCACATCCAGCTGCTCCGCAAGGCGCGGATGTGCGGTGACGTGCTCGTCGTGGGCGTGAACAACGATGAATCGGTCACGCGCCTCAAGGGCGAGGGCCGCCCCGTGCACACGATCGCGGACCGGTGCGCGGTTCTGAGCGAGCTGGAGTCGGTCGATATCGTCGTCGCGTTCGGCGAGGACACGCCGATGAAGCTCCTGGAAGCGCTGCGTCCGGACGTGCTCGTCAAGGGCGGGGACTACACCCGCGAGGGCGTTGTCGGCGGCGATTTCGTGGAGTCGTACGGCGGCTCGGTCGAGCTCGTGGGCGTGCTCGAGGGGCGCTCGACGACCGGCGCGATCGAGAAGCTCGGGCTCGCGGGAACCTGAGACGCATGATCCACGTCGCGATCCTGAAGCCGAAGTACCTCGACGCCCTGCTCTCCGGCGAGAAGCGCGTGGAGTGCCGCCTGACGCGCACGCGTATCGAGCCGTACGGCAAAGTCCGGACGGGCGACCGCGTGTACTTCAAGGAATCCGCCGGCTCGTTCCGAGCCACGGCGCTGGTGGAGCGGTTCGAGCAGCGCGACGAGCTGGACGAGCGAGCCATCGAGGCCCTCCGCGCCGAGTTCGGCGAGGAGATCGGCGCCCCGGACTCGTTCTGGGACTCGAAGAAATCCACGCAGTACGTCGTGCTCCTGTGGTTCAGGAAGATCGAGGAGGTCTACCGCGGCCCGCGCCACCCGGCGCTGAACGGGCGGGGCTGGCTCACGCTCGACAAGCGGGAGGACGTCTACCCCGCGTGCGTCGCGACGGAACGTGGCAAACGCAAAGCCGCGAAGGGCGCCGATCGTGCGGGATGAATTCAACGAGCTCTCCCTGGACGCGCTGTACGCGAAGCTGGACGAGAAAGGCCTCATCACGCGCCTCTTCCAGCTCGCGCGGGACGAGGACCTGGGCGACGCCGGGGACCTCACTAGCCGCGCCTGGTTCGAAGACGACGCGCCGATGCGCGCCGCGGTGAGCTTCCGCGAGACGGGCACCGTCGCGGGGGTCGCCTGCATCGCGACGATCTGCGAGGAATTCGCGCCGGTTCTGGGCGAGACGGTCTCGTGCGAGGTCCTCCTCGCCGACGGGTCAGAGGTCGAACGCAACGCTCATGTCGCGATTCTCTCCGGCTCCCGCTCGGCCGTCGTGGGCGTGGAGCGGACGGTCCTGAACACGATCGGGCGGCTCTCGGGCATCGCGACGCTCACCGCGAAGTACGCCGAGGAGGCCGCGAGCGGGAACAAGGCGACGCGCCTGCTCGACACACGCAAAACCACACCGGGGTTGCGGGTGTTGGAAAAATACGCGGTGCGGTGCGGCGGCGGGTACTGCCACCGCCTGGGCCTGCACGACGCGGTGCTGGTGAAGGACAATCACATCGCCGGGATGCGTCCGGCCGAGCTCCGCGCCCACGCGGACCGCGCCTCGGCGAATGCCCGAAAGTTTGGTGCCGCTTTCATGGAGATCGAGGTCGACTCGCTCGAGCAGTTCGAGGTGCTCGTTTCGCTCGATCCGGGCACGGTGGACATCGTCCTGCTTGACAACATGCGGCCGGACCAGCTCGCCAAGGCCGTGAAGATGCGGAACGAGAAGAACCCGGAGCTGCTGCTCGAGGCGTCGGGGGGTGTCCGCATCGAGACGATCGCGGGCATCGCCCAGACGGGGGTGGACCGGATCAGCGTCGGGGCGCTGACGCACTCGTCGGTGGCGTTGGATGTAGGTTTGGATGCGCTGGACTAATCCAGCTGCTCGATCATCCGCTCGATGTACCGCCACGCGTTGAGCTCGACGCGGATCTCGCGGAGCGTCCCCGCGTCCACTGGCTCGCCGAGTGACGCAAAGAGCTCCCGGACCCGCGCGATGTGCGCCTCGCGGCGCACGTCCGCGAGTTGCTCGAACTCCGCCTTCGCCCCGGGGTCGCCCGAGCCGGTCGCCTCCTCCATCGCCTGGCGGACCTCGAAGATGTCCATCAGGAAGCCGTCCGGCAGGTCCTTGCACTCGCTCGCGTCCGGTCCGCCCAGGGTTCCGAGCAGGGCGTCGGCGCGGCGCTCGGGGTCGGCGAGGGTTTCCTTCGCTCGGTTGAGCAGGGCGGAGCGCCGGGCGGTCTCCGCCTCGTCCGCGCCGCTCGCCCGGTCCGGGTGGAGGGACGCGGAGCGCGTGAGCCAGGCGCGGTCGATCTTCGACGGGTCGAGGTCGAACGACGGCGGCAATCCCAGTGTCTCGAAGGGGTTCGTCTCGGTCACAGGGCCGATGATACGCGCCGCGGCGCGGGGCGTGTCGCGTGTGCTACCATCGTGCGTCGGCCGCGTGAGGCCGGTTCCGTGCCCCGAAGGAGTCCTCCACTCGTGCCCAAGCACATCGGCATTGTCGCGGTGAGCCCCGAAGGCTCGGCGTTCTGCTACCGGATGATCGGTCGGCGGTGCTCCGAGGTGGACGACCCCGCGCGCCGGCCCGTGGTCTCTCTCCACAACAAGCCATTTTCCTCCTACGTCGAGGCCCTCAACGCCGCGAACTGGGAGGCGCTCGCGCACCTGCTGATCGACTCCGCCCGGGTGCTCAACAACGCCGGGGCGGACTTCTGCGTCCTGCCCGACAACGTCGCGCACCACGCCCTGCCGCTCGTGGAGGGGCAGTCCCCGGTGCCGTTCCTGAACATGATCGAGATCGCCGCGGACGCGGTGCAGGGCGCGGGGTGCTCCAAGATCGGGCTGATCGGGACGAAGTACGTCATGTCCGGCTCGACCTACCAGACGGTCCTGGGCCTGCGCGGGATGCACCTGCTCGTGCCCGAGGAGGACGAGGCGAACACGATCGACTCGATCATCTTCAACGAGGCGATCTACGGCGCCGTGCGCACGGAATCGAAAGCCAAGGTCATGAAGGCGATCATGCGCCTCGGCCAGCGCGGGTGCGACGCGGTCGTGCTCGGATCGTCCGAGGCCTCGCTCCTCATGGCGGTCGAGGAGAGCCCGCTCCCGGTCTTCGACCCGGTCGAGCTCCTCGCGGACAGCGCCGTGCGCTGGGCGCTGCAGGAAGACGCGGCCGCCAAATAAAAAACGCCCCGTGCTTGAGCGCGGGACGCTTTGAAATCAGTTCAAATCGATCCGAAATCAGCGGGCGTACTTGACGGAGCAGCCGTAGGGCTTGGTCTCGGCCATGCTGATGGCGTTGCCGGCGATGAGCTCGTCCAGGGCGTTGGCGACGTAGTTGACCTTGTCGTTGCCGGACTTGTTGCCGCGGGAGTCGTTGTCGATCGCGCCGTTGTAGACGAGGACACCCTCGGCGTCGATGATGAACATGTGCGGGGTGGTGCGGGCGCCGTACATCTTGCCGACCTTGCCGTCGGAGTCATCGAGGACGGGGTAGGCGAGGTTCCACTCTTCGATGAAATCGGCGCACTGGGTGTAGCCGGGGTTCTCGGTGTTGCTCGAGTTGATGGCGAGCCAGACGATGTTCTCCTTGCCGTACTTGGCGGAGAGATCGGCCATGGTGGACTGCTTCTCGTGGTGGAGCTTGACGTAGGGGCAGGTGGGGTTGAACCACTCGAGCACGACGACCTTCTCGTCCTCGATGTAGTCGCTCAGGGTGTGGGTGTTGCCGCTGAAATCGGTGAGGGTGAAGTCGGGGGCCTTGTGCCCGACGGTGGCCTTGTCGTGGTCCGGGCCTGCGACGGCGGTTGCGGTCATGGTGACGCCGGTGACGGCGAGGGCGGCACAGGCGAGCGCGGCGGCGATGCGGTTGAGTTTCATTGGGAGCGTCTCCTTCTCAGGGTGTGGCCGCGCGAAGCGTTCGCGGGGCGCTAAGTCGGTTCATGGTACGTCAGTCGCGTCCCGGCGTCGGGACGCGGATGGTCTGGTGGGTGAGCCCGTTTTCGCGGGTGATCGTGAGGACGGCGCGGATCTCGTCCGCGTCGTCGAGGTCCCGGAACGGGATCTCGAGGGTGTCGCCGGACGCCTCGCCGTGCTCGATGATCCCGACGGGGTCGGCGAGGCCCTCGCCGCGTTCGGGGAAAAAGACGAGCTTCGTCGCGCCGGGCACCGTGATGCGGAGCGTGTCGCCTTGCCACGAGGTCGCGATATTCAGCTCGCTCGCCTCGTCCGCCTCGCGGGGGATGAGTTCCCGCGTGCGCTCGAAGAGCGGCCGATCGTTGGAGGGATCCGCCGAGGACGCGACCGGGAGGGCGATTGTGTCCGAGCCGTTGCCGAAGAGGCAGACGTTTTTGCAGATCAGGAAATCGGCTTTGACGGTGAGGGTGACGGTCTCGCCGAGGCCGGCGTCGCGGTCGAGCGAGACCGGGACGAGCAGGGCGAGCTCGTGGTCGTAGGTGTAGTCGAGGATGTCGCCCGGGCTGAGGTAGCGACGCGGGGCGGGCCAGAGGGGTTCTCCGAGAGTGACGCCCTCGGGGGCGTCCCACTTCAGGAACGGCGCCTGGCCAGAATCCCCGGGATTTTTCCAGTAGAGGTGCCACATGGGCTCGATCGCGAAGTGGACCGCGACCCAGTTGATCTCGCCCGGCACGAGGGCGGTCCTCTCGGCTTTGATGGACACGGTCGCAAGGTCGCTGCCCTGCGGCATCTGCGCATAAGCTGGGCCCGCGATAATCAGGGCGGAGAGGGTCGCGAACGCGGCTGCGAGGCAATTTCTGGCGTGAATGGCTTATCTCCGGGAGAACGATCGAGTGGGAGGTGTTCGGAAGAACGGAGCACGCGGAGTGGTTATTCTCTCCGCATGCCTACTTTTTATCGATCGGGACGTCGGTTGGATGCACTTTCGGCCCTTCTGGTCACGATTTGCGTGATTCTGCCGGGGTGCGGCCCCAAAATTACGGATGATTCGATCCGGAACGTTCAGTCTCGCGATATCGCGGGCTGGGTGAGCGACGCCTCTCCCACGCGCCTGTTCATGGATGTTCGGGACGCGTCGGCGTACGAGGCGGGGCACATCCCGGGGGCTCGGAATGTCCTGCTCCAGGAGGTCTCGGCCACCGAGAGGGACCCGTCGCTTGAGCAGTACAAGATCATCGTCGTGTATGGGGAGCGGGCCGGCTCGGCGCGGGCGATCGCGATGACGAAGCGCCTGCTGAGCGTGGGACACAAAAAGGTGTACATGCTCGAGAACGGGTACGCCGGCTGGATCGCGCAGGGGGGCGCGAGCGAGCGGTAGAATATTCCGCCGTTTTCACTCCACGCCACCACACGCGACCGAATTCCCCTGAGGGCACCCCGACATGAACGCTCCCGCCGCGACCGCGCCGAACCTGATCCGCAAGCACGTCTACGACTCGCTCGATGGCGTGATCGGCAACACCTCTCTGGTGCGCCTCCGGAGGCTCTCGCCGGAGGGCGGGGGCGAGGTGCTCCTGAAGATGGAAGCGGACAACCCGATGGCGAGCGTGAAGGACCGCATCGGCAAGGCGATGATCGAGGCGGGCGAGGCGGACGGCCGGGTGCGTGAGGGGACGCACATCATCGAGCCGACGTCGGGGAACACGGGGATCGCGTTGGCGTTCATCTGCAGCGCGAAGGGGTACAAGCTCACGCTGTGCATGCCCGAATCGATGAGCCTCGAGCGGCGCGCGGTTCTCAAGCAGTTCGGCGCGAACCTCCTGCTCACGCCCGCGGAGGACGGGATGCGCGGCGCGATCAACGCGGCCCAGGTGCTCTACGACAAGGAGATCAAGTCCAAGGGCGATGGCGGCGCGTACATGCCGGCGCAGTTCGACAACCCCGCGAACCCGATGATCCACGAGAAGACCACCGGCCCGGAGATCTGGGCGGATACCGGCGGCGAGATCGACGCGATCGTCGCCGGCGTCGGCACCGGCGGGACGATCACCGGGGCGACGCGATTCCTGCGCACGAAGAACCCGAACTTCAAGGCCATCGCGGTCGAGCCGGTCGCCTCGCCCGTGATCTCGGGCGGCGAGCCGGGTCCGCACAAGATCCAGGGCATCGGCGCCGGGTTCATCCCCGGCAATCTGGACGCTTCGCTCCTCGACGGCGTCGAGCAGGTGACCGACGAGGACGCATTCGCGTGGGGACGCAAACTGGCGCACACCGAGGGCATCCTGGGCGGGATCAGCACGGGGGCGAACGTCTGTGCCGCGGTGCGGGTCGCGAGCCGGCCGGAATTCGCGGGCAAGCGGATCGTGACGGTGTGCTGCTCGTTCGGCGAGCGGTACCTCTCGACGCCGCTTTTCGAGCCGAACAGCTGATTTCCGAGGCTCCCGGGGGGTGATCAGCGGTCTCCTGCTGCGAAAATCACGCTTTTATCGAGACATCCGGCGTTTCCGTGGTAGGCTCCACACGGACGGGCTTGCCACAGGGCCCGTTTCGCACGTACGAAGCGGCCCCCGCACGGGGCCCGGAGGAGATCAACATGCTGTCTGACCGATGTGTCGTCCGTTCGTCGCGCGCGCGCCGCGCGCTCGTCGCCGCTGCCGCGGGTTTGTGCTGCTCAGTCCCGGCGCTGGGCGGTGGCGAGGTGGATTTCCAGTTCAACGAGGCGGGCCTCGCCAACTGGAGCGCCCCGTCGAGCTGGGACATCCTGGGGGTGCCGAACGCGGCGAACCACAACGCGTTCGTCGCGGGCACGTTCGTGATCGACCCGACGATCCTGACGCTCGACATCAACGTCGCGCTGAACAACTTCGAGTACACCTCCCCGATGGTGCAGTTCGTGAGCCAGTCGCGCACGATGACGATCGGCGGGACGGCGACCTTCAACGGCGGGATGCCGGTGAATTTCAACGGCGGCGGATTCGCGGGCACGGGCGCCGTGAACAACTTCGGGGTGCTCAACGCCAACGGCGGCATGAACGTCTTCAACGCCGGCGATTTCATGAACCACGGCGGCTCGGTGCTCAACGTCACGGACGGCACGCTGACACGGAACACCGGGGCGTTCATCAACCAGGGGATGATCAACGTCTCGAGCACCGTGAACACCAACGCGACGATCAACGGCAACTCGTCGCTCACCAACCAGGGCCTGCTGAACTTCGAGCTGGGCGCCGGCGGGTCCCGGTTCTTCGGCCTGAGCCTGGACAACATTGGCGGCGCGACGGTCAACGCCCGCGCCGCGACGCAGTTCAACCAGACCGGCGGGACGTACACCAACAGCGGCGCGTTCAACGTGGACCCGTCCGGCTCGGTCACCGTGCAGGGCAACGGGGTCCTGATTTTCACACAGGCGAATGGCACGCTGACGAACAACGGTTTGTTCCAGACGAACAACGAGACGTTCGATTTCACGGGCGGGAACATCGTCGGCAACGACATCCGCATCAACGGCGGGACGCTCAACATCACCGCGGACGGCCTCGGCGATTTCGACGTGATCTCGGGGACCACGTTCACGGGGAACATCGCCCCCACGCAGACGATCGACGTCTTCGACTCGACGCTCACCGCCGGGACGTTCACCAACCGTGGCGGGCTCTCGTTCACGTCCTCGGTGAACACGAACAGCCAGCTCACGGCCGACATGATCACGAACATCGGCACGCTGAGCTTCGAGCCCGGGATGGGCGGGCCGCGATTCCTGAACTCGAATCTGGAGAACGTCAACCAGCTCTCGGTCAACACCTCGACGACGTTCAATCGCACGAGCGGCATCTACACCAACACCGGCATCTTCACGGTCGCGCCCGGCGCGACGGCCACGATGCAGGGCAACGGCGTGCTGAGCTTCAACCAGAACTCCGGATCGCTCCACAACAACGGGACGTTCCAGAGCAACGGCGAGGCGTTCAACTACAACGGCGGGGTGCTGACCGGCAACGACATCGTCCTCAACGGCGGCGAGCTGAACATCGCCACGCCGAACCAGGGCCACTTCGACGTGATCTCGGGCGTCACGATGACGGGCGATATCTCGAACGCCCAATCCGTCGATGTCTTCGATTCCACGCTCACACAGTCTTCGTTTACGAACAACGGCGTGCTCTCGTTCGGCTCGACAGTGAACACGAACGCGTCGCTCTCCGCCGACAACCTCACCAACACGGGCACCCTCGACCTGCTCCCCGGCGCCGGTGGGCAGCGGTTCGTCAACAGCAACCTGGCGAACAGCGGCGTCGTGAACGCGAACACCGCGGTGATCCTCAACAAGACTGGCGGCGCCTACACCAACATGGGCGAGTTCAATATCGCGCCGGGGACGACGACCACGCTCACCGGCAGCGGCGTCCTGAATTTCAATCAGAACGCCGGGACGCTCAACAACAACGGGGCCTTCCAGAGCAACGGCGAAACGTTTAATTACAACGGCGGCGTGTTGACCGGCAACGACGTCGTCCTCAACGGCGGCGACCTTAACATCGCCACACCGAACCAGGGCCACTTTGACGTGATCGCGAGCGTCACCATGACCGGCGACATCTCGGATCAGCAGACCGTTGACGTCTTCGACTCCACGCTCACACAGACCGATTTCAATAACGACGGGGTCCTGACGCTGACCACGACGGTGAACACCAACGCCACGCTCTCGGCGAGCACGCTGACCAACACGGGCACGCTCGATTTGCTCCCGGGCGCCGGCGGCAGCCGGTTCCTCTCCACCAACGTGACGAACGCCGGCGTGGTCAACTCGATGACCACCGTCAATCTCAATCAGACCGGGGGCGTCTACACCAACACGGGCGAGTTCAACGTCGCGCCGGGGACGACGACCACGCTCGCGGGCAGCAGCGTGCTGAGCTTCAACCAGAACGCCGGCACGTTCAACAACAACGGGACCTTCCAGAGCAACGGCGAGACGTTCAACTACAACGGCGGCGTGCTGACCGGCAACGACGTCGTCCTCAACGGCGGCGACCTCAACGTCGTCACGCCGAACCAGGGCCACTTCGATGTGATCGCGAGCGTCACCATGACCGGCGACATCTCGGATCAGCAGACCGTTGACGTCTTTGACGCGACTCTCACGCAGGGCGCGTTCACCAACGACGGGGTCCTGACGCTGACCACGACGGTGAACACCAACGCCACGCTCTCGGCGAGCACGCTGACCAACACGGGCACGCTCGATTTGCTCCCGGGCGCCGGCGGCAGCCGGTTCCTCTCCACCAACGTGACGAACACCGGCGTGGTCAACGCGATGACGAGCACCCTCCTCAACCTCACCAACGGGGCCTACACGAACTCCGGCGAGTTCAACATCGCGACCGGGACCACAACCACCCTCGCGGGCGGCGGCGTCCAGAGTTTCAACCAGAACGGCGGCACGCTCAACAACGGCGGCGTGTTCCAGAGCAACGGCGAGAACTTCAACTACAACGGCGGGATGCTGAGCGGCAACGACATCCGCATCAACGGCGGCACGCTCAACATCGCCACGCCCAACCAGGGCCATTTCGATGTGATCTCGAGCGCGACCATGAGCGGCGATATCTCGAGCCAGCAAACCGTCGACGTCTTCGATTCCACACTCACGCAGACCGATTTCACCAACGACGGCGTGCTGACGCTCACGACCACCGTCAACACGAACGCCGCGCTCAACGCCGGCGTGTTCACCAACACGGGCACGCTCGACCTGCTCCCGGGCGCCGGCGGCCCGCGGTTCATCAGCGCGAACGTCACCAACAGCGGCGGCATCAACGTCCGGGCCAACACGACGCTCAACCTGTCCAACGCTTTCCACTTCTCGACCGGCGTCATCACCGTGGACACCGGCGTGACCCTCACCGTCGGCGGCGGCGGCGTCGTGAACTTCCAGAACGGCACCGCGGGCACGATCCGCGGCGGCGGCACGGTGAACCTCGTCAGCGCCGACAACTTCACCAACAACGGCACCTTCGCCCCCGAGGGCGACGGCGTCGAGACCGGCACGCTCACCGTCGTCGGCGACTGGCACCAGACGAGCTTCGCCCAGCTCGCGATCGATGTGCTCAATACCGTCAACCGCGGCATCGGCCACGACGTGCTCGCGGTCACACAGGACGCCGACCTCGACGGGCTGCTCGTCGTGACCGTCGCGGGGAACATCAACCCGGCGGACTCGTTCACCATCCTCACCTCGGGCGCCCTGACCGGCACGTTCTCGAACACGGGCGGCGGCACGGTCGCGACGACGAACGGCGGCCAGTTCGACGTGATCTACACGGGCGACTCGGTGATCCTGACGAACTACGTCCCGACCCCCGGCGCCCTCGGCCTGGCGGGCATCGGGCTGCTCGTCGGGCTGCGTCGCCGGCGCTGAATCAGGCAGTCATCCATCTCTGGACACGGCCCCGGGCGGCCGGGGCTTTTTTGTGCGCTCTCGAAAAGGCGATGACCGCGGGCATTCGTCGCGGTACACTCGCCCGGAGCGTGGGGCGCGGCGTCGCGTGCCATCGAACCGGCACGGATCGTCGCGAGCCATCGACACCATGACCACCGATCGCGAATGCGGCTCCTGCGGATTCACCGGCACAGCCCGCGAGCCCGACCCTTCGACGCTCCGCTGCGGTCGTTGCGGCAGCGTCCTCTGGAAGAAGCGGGCGAACACAGCCGAGCGGTCGCTCGCGTTCGCGATCACCGGGATGCTCTTTTTTCTCCCGGCGCTGGCGTACCCGATCATGGCGTTCGAGGTCGTCGGGCGATCGAACGACAACCGTTTGATGACCGGCGTGCTCGGGCTCGCGGACGGCGGGGCGCTCCCGATCGCGCTGATCGTCTTCCTGACCAGCATCTTCATCCCCTTCGCCCGATTCGCGGTCGTGGCGCTGATCACCTTCCCGATCGTGTCCGGGCGGCCCGAGAGGTGCCCCCGCAAGCTCCTGCCCCTCGCGCACATCTGCAACGAGTGGTCGCTCCTGGACGTGTACCTGCTCGGCGTGGCGGTGACGTACGCGAAGCTGTCGAACTTCGGCGCGGTGAGCTTCGAGCCCGGCTGGATCCCGCTCCTCGGGATCATCCTCTCCTCGATCGCGCTGACGCGCAGCTACGACGCGATCGAGATCGAACGCCTGACCCGCCCCCCGGAAGAAAACTCGGCCGCCGGTGCTCTCGCACGGGAATCGCGCCCGCGTCGGAACCGGAGCGTTGCCCTGGCGCTGCTGATCGCCACGGCCCTGCTGATCGTGCCCGCGTACTCGACGCCGATCCTGATGCTCGTGCAGTACGGCGACGCGGAGCACGCGACGGTGTACGGCTCGGTGCTCGAGCTGACCGCGGGCGGGCAGTATCTCGTGGGGAGCCTGATGTTCGTCGCGAGCATCGTCGTCCC